GCTAAAACGACCCCCAAACTTATATTACTGCCTTTTCTAGTTGTTCCAATGTTATCTCTGTTGTGTTAATCAAAAATAAAACCATATTTTTATTTAAAGTTTTTTTATTAAAGTTTTAAATCCGGTGAAAGAACAAAATAAGAACATACCGTGGCTCCCTATGAGAATGGGTGGAGTGGAAATTAAAACCAAACCCCGGTAGCCTTTTGAATCCAAAATTTAGCAAATCTTGAATTATAATAACATTAATAAATTTTTGGGCCCTTGTCACCCCAAAAGTTATCTCTGAGTTACCAGACCTTTCCACGGGGGGCCATTTGGGTTTGTCCCTTTAAAGGGCCGCCCCCCCCCCGCCTTCCCCGGTTCATGTGTCCCGGAATCCATCCCCTGGGCCCCCCGGGTTCACCCTTCCTCACTTTCCCTAAAGGGCAGCCTCGCCCCCTCCTCTCTGCCTTCCCGCCCTTTAGCCTTTCCCCGGGTTAAAAAGTATTTTTGGAAATTTTAAACCGTCCGCCGCCGGATTTTTCCCCCTTTTCACTTTCCCCAAGGCAGCCCTCACCAACCTGTAAATTCCCTGCCAACCCCCCGGTTTATGTATTCCCGGAAACCCCCGTCTACCCCCAATGGCTTCCCCTTCCCCAAATTCCCCCCCGGTCCAACATCAAAAATGCACTTTTTCATGCTTTCCCCAAGTTCATGTACCAGGAAATTTCCCTCCCTTTGCCCCCAGATGTCTCCCCTTTCCCCCCCCTTAAACCCCCAAAGGGTTGGTTTAAAACCCCAAAAACAACCTTTCCCCCCGTTTATGTATCCGGAAAACCATCCCCTCGCTCCCCGGATGGCTTCCCCTTTCCCCCCTTTTCCTAAGGTCAAACGGGGTTTTGGCAGTGCCCTTTCCCCGGGTCGGGCTTCCCGGGGCCAATTTTGGGGTAAACCCCAGGTGGAATCCCTTTTTCCCCTTTCCCCCAAAAACAGCGGTTTTTCTTGCTTTAACCCCCGGTTATGTACCAAAGGGAAACCATCCCCTCGCTCCCAGATTCTCCCCTTTCCCCCCTTTCCCAAGGTTTTTCCCTTTAACAACAACCCTTTCCCCAAATTTATGTATCCAGGGAAAAACCAACCGCTCGCTCCCCCCGATGTCTTCCCTTCCCCCCTTACTTAAGGTCAGCGAGTTGGTCAAATGCCTTCCCCGGATCAATTCTTTAAAGGGGTCCCCTTTGGGGTCCCCCCAGGTGGAAAACCCCTTTCCCCCCTTCCCCAAAGTCAGCGGTATTCCCTTTCTTTACCCCCTTCATGTATCCCGGAATCGATCCCGTCTTTCCGCCGGAGGGCTTCCCTTCCCCCCCTTCCCCAAGGGCGCCTAAAATGCACGTATTTATGCTTTTCCCCAGGTTTATGTATCCAGGGGAAACCTTTCCCCTCGTTCCCCCGATGGTTTTCCCCTTCCCCACTTCCCCCAAATTTTGCCCCAACAAAAACCTTCCCCAAGTTTTTTATCCCGGAAACCATCCGCTGCTCCCGGATGTCTTCCCTTTCCCCCCCTTTCCTTTAAAGGGCAGCGAGTTAGGCATGCCCCTTCCCCCGGGTTTTAATTCTCCAGGATTCCACTTGGTTTTCACCCCAGGTGGGGAAAACCCTTCCCCACTTCCCCCAAAATCGCGGTATTCTTGCTTTAAACCCCCGGTTCATTTATCCGGGAAACGAATTCCCTCTACCCCCCCGGATGTCTTCCCCCTTTAACCCCTTTCCCCAAAGGGCAGCCTCAACGTGGTATTCATGCCTTTCCCAGGTTTTATGTATCCAGAATCGATTTCCCTTACCCCCGGTGTCTCCCCCCTTCCCCCCTTACCTTTAAAGGGCAGCCCAATAAAAACCTTTCCCCCAAACCATGTATCCAGGAAACCATCCGTTCGCTCCCCGGGTTTCTTTTTTTCCCCCCTTACCTAAAGGGCGGCGGTGCCTTTTCCCGGGGTCAGTGTCCCAGGAAACCCCTTGTTCACTGAGTGGAAATCCCTTCCCCCCTTTCCCCAAAAGTCAGCGGTTGCCACCCCCAGTGACCTTGCTGAAAGGAAATTGGGCTTGGGCGTTGGCTACGGGGAAATGACTGTCCCGGTAGGTGGAAATTTCTGGGGGGACACAATTAAAATGCGTCCAGTGATTACATCCCCAAAGGGCAGCCTGGAACCCAAAACCCCCTGGAAAGAAAACCGAAGCCCCTACACAGCTCGGGCCCCCCTCGGGGGGTAAATTTAAAAAAAAATTTTGGAATTCCTTTTAAAGTTACACTAGGGAAATTTTTAAAACGAGAACAATTTTTTTTAAATTAAATTTTGGGAGTTTAAAAGTGTTTTTTGAGCGACATTCCCATGTGAAAAAATGTAAATAAATAAAGATGAACCCCGTTTTAGACACGAGTGGAGGATGTGTGTCGTGTGTAACCCTGTTATTTTTTAAAAATTTAATGTAAAAAATCTTCGTGTTAGTATATTGGTGTCATATGTACCGTTCTTGTGGTTCACGAATGGCTTTTGTAAATGTTATTTTTTTATGAAAAAAGTATCAAAATTTAAAACTCTAAATTTTTCCCCTATGAAAACTAAACAAATTTATAAAAAAATAGCTATTTGGGATTTCGCAAATGAATTTGAAAGGGCGGAAAATATACATACATGCGCGCACAAAATGTGTATGTGTGTGTGGGATAAATACGGTTTTTTAAAGTGTTAAAAAGCGTGGTTTTTGAGGGGACACCGGTCCCACATGAAAGGCTTTCTCTGGATTACTGTCTTCTGAGCAAAGGTTTTAATGACATCACAGTCTTTAAGACCACATGACACACACATCTTTTAAGACCCAGGTGACATCACCCGCTTTAAAAACCACAGGTGGGCCCTCACACGTCTTTTTTGACCACCCGGTGACACACACACTCTTTTAAGGCCAAAGGTGACATCACCGTTTTTTAAAACCCCCAGGTACATCACCCGTCCTTTTGACCCCCAGGGGACATCCCCACGTCTTTTAAGGGCCACAGGGGACACACACGTCTTTAAGATCACGGTGACATTCACCCTCTTTAAGACCACAGGTGAAATCACACGTCTTTTAAGACCACAGGGAATCCCCCCAAAGTCTTTAAGAAACCCCAGGTTTAAAATCACCGGCTTTAAGACCACAGGGTTTACAACACAAAGTCATTTTGACCACAAAGGGGACATACACTCTTTAAAAATCACAGGGGACATCACCCGTCTTTAAAAACCACAGGGTGACACCAAAGTCTTTTAAAACCAAGGGAACATCACACGTCCCCTTTTAAAACCACAGGTAACATCACACGTCTTTTTAAAACCACAGGTAACCCTCACACGTTTTTAAACCAAAAGGTTTAATCACACGTCTTTAAGAACACAGGGTAACATCACACTCTAAAAAGACCACAGGTGACCAAAACACGTCTTTAAAGGACCAAAAGGGGAAATCACAAAGTTTTAAGAAACCCCCAGGGAACATCACCCCGTCTTTAAAGACCCCAAAATTGACATCACACGTCCTTTTAAAACCACAGGTGACATCACACGGGCTTTTAAAAATCAAGGGAACATCACAGTCTTTAAACCACAAAGGGGGCATCACAAAGTCTTTAAAAAAAACCCAGGTGACATTTACAAAGTCTTAAGACCCCAAAAGGTGACATCACACGTCTTTAAGACCCAGGAAAATTTCAACGTCTTTAAGACCCAGGTGACATCACACGTCTTTAAGCCCACAGGTGAATACAGTCTTTAAGACCACGGGTTGACATACAAACTTATCAAACCCCAAAGTTTTTTTGTGTAAGTCTTTCCCGTTTTTCTTGCATATTATAACTTAAAAATTCAACACTATTGCTCTAAAAACTTTGTAAGTTAAATACATTTTTAACTTGTATTTTTTAAAAAACCCTATAATCCACCTAGTTTTGTTCCCTTTTTTAAATAAGTGTTTTTCACTTGGGTATTTCATTGTTTACCTTGATGCAATATTTTTTCCCCTTTCGAATTCACACTCTTCTTTGGTACGTATTTTTTGTTTTTTCCAAATTTCTCCTCATATTTCTGACCATTTATGCAACAGTCATTTTCCCATTATATTATTTTTTTTTAAAATTTTTTCCCTTTTCTTTTATAAACATTAAAACAAATCATTAAAAGATTCCAGAATTTTATTACAACTGCCTCACAAACTTCAATTTTAAATACATTCTAAATTTCCCAGTTTTAATCTTTTTTGACTATTTTTTTTATTTGACTGACAAAACTTTTGACGCAGAGTCAGCCAGGCGAAGCAGACTCAGCAGGCTGACGCGGGTCAGCAGGCTGACAGCAGAGTCAGTGGGCTGACGCAGAGTCAGCCAGGCTGACAGCAGAGTCAGTCAGGTGACAGCGTACCCAGAACTGTGCTTTCTTTTGTAAATTTATTATGTAGTTCATAATTTTTTCTATGTTTATTTTTCATTTCATCTACACTTACAATCACTAAAAACACACTACTGTACATTACTACTGTTTTACCATAAATCACTACACACTATTTCGTAACATATATTTTCATGTTTTACCGTTTCATGCATATCTACACCCCTTCACGTACTGTTTAATTAATGAAATTTTATTAAATATGAAAGAAAATTAAAAGAAATTCTTGATATGTTTTTAAATTTTTTTAAGAAACTGGAATGAGGGTTCATTTTTTTTTGATAAAAAATTTTTTGGGAAAAAGGGAAATTTAAATTTGTGAAGAAGTGTTAACTTCAGAGATTTGGAGAAAAACAGAGATTTTTTTAAATTTCTTAATAAACATTTAGTTTAATTAGATTAATTATTAAATAATTCTTTTAGTTTTTCATACTCTCTTCTCTCACCCTTCAATAATGACATAAAAACATTCCCACAACTGATGGATAAAAAAAAAAAACTCGGTGATTTAAAATAAAAACTGTCAACTGGGTGATACGATCTATGAAAAAAGAAATTTTTGGGGATGGGTGCCACAACCCGGCAGTACGACGCCACAACCTGGCCAGTACGACGCCACAACCTGGCTTCGACGCCCCAACTGGCCAGTACGCGCCCAACCTGGCCCCGTACGACGCCCCAACCCGGCCAGTACGACTGTGTGTTAAAGTCTCCCAGACTGTTGTTATGAACTGTGATGCATCAATGTTCATATATTACACACTAATGTTTTGGTGACTATGTTGCAGAGATATTCACACTGAATGTTGTGGGGGCACTATGTTGCAGAGATATTGACACATGAAAGTTGTGGTGCACTATGTTGCGAGTTTAAGGGATATAGCCGGAAAGTAATGAAAAAAAACAAAAATGTAGAGGGGAACTTTGAATGAAGGGGTTTTTTTTCACAGGTGAAAGTTCCCCTTTTGCTGTTATGTGTTTTTTCACCCCCATCGTTTGTTTGATGTGTATAAAAACTGTCTGATACACCGAGTTAATACACGTATGTAACCTGTCTGGTAAATCCCCGATAAAAAATTATTGCAGGATTTTTTTCTTAGGTTTTTGTTGGTAGGAATCAAGTTTAAAGACTGGACGCTTTTTATGAGATTACTACTGGGAAAGGGTGTTACAGAAAATTTTAGTAGAAAACCTCGGTAGGTCTCTGTTGGAAAAGTTTTGGCAACACTCTTTGGTACAGACTTTTGGTAGCGATTCGTTTGTAAGTATAAAATGAAAAAAACGAGATCACGAAATCGTAATGGGACGTTGAAAAAATTACCCAACCACGGGCGGGATTTGAACCCGCGGGCAGAGAGTCTCAAATCCCCTCCCTGGTAGGATTCGTTTAAAATGAATCAGTCAGTGGTTTTACAGTGACATATAAAAAAGTGTATTTAAAACACAAAACAGAAATTAATATCATACATAAAAATTTAGTGACAAATCATTAGAGAAAAAACATAAAAAAGTAAACTGAGACATAAAAGGGGTGTGACAAATAAATTATACAACAACACACAAAAAAGTTTAAAAACAAAAAACATCATAATTACACACAAAAATATATGTAATAAAAACAGTACAAAAATTTTAAAAAAGTCCCGACAGTAAATAAAACCCCAAGACCCGTACGTACAATAAAAAGAAGACCAGTACAGTACAATAACCAGAAGACCCGTACAGTACAAAAAACCCCGAAGACCGTACAGTACAATAAAAACACAAGACCAGTAAGTACAATAAACGAAGACGTCCAGTACAATAACACAGAAGACCCGTACAGACAATAACAAGAAAACCGTACAGACTAACACAGAACCCGTACAGTACAAAAACACACAAGACCAGTACAGTTTAAAAAACCAGAAGACAGTACAGTACAATAACACAGAAGACCAGTCGTACAAATAAAACAGAAGACCCGTACAGTACAATAACACAGAAGACCGTACGTACAAAAACACAAGACCGTACGTACAAAAACCACAAGAACCCCGTCAGTACAATAACACACAAGACCGTTCGTACAATAACACAGAAGACCGTACGTACAAAAACCCAAAAAGCCAGTACAGTACAAAAACACGAAGACCCGTACAGTCAAAAAACGAAAGACCCGACAGTACAAAACCAGAAGACCCGTACAGTACAATAACACGAAGACCGTACAGTCAATAACACAGAGCCCCGAACGTACAATAAAAAGAGACCGTACGTACAAAAAACAGAAGACCAGTAAGTACAATAACAAGAAGACCCCGTCGTACAAAACACACAAGACCCGTACAGTACAATAAAACAGAAGACCGACAGTCAATAAACACAAGACCGTTCATACAATAACCAGAAGACCGTACAGTACAATAACACGAAGACCCGACGTACAATAACACAGAAGACCGTACTACAATAACACAGAAGACCGTACGTACAATAAAACGAAGACCCGTGCGTCAATAACCCAAAAAACCAGTGCAGTACAATAACAACAAGCCAGTCAAAACAATACACAAAAACCAGAACAGTATAAGACCAGTAGGTACAGTACCCGGAGACCAGCACAGTCACTAACACAGAAGATAGTAAGTACAAAAACACAGAAAAACCCCTACGTATAATACACCAAATTCTAGTGCATCAGTACATAAGAAGAGAACCCGTACGGTCAGGGAAAAACAGAAAACCAGCCCCGTACAAAAAAAGGGGAAAAACCCGTACTCCAAAACCCAAAAAGCCGTACAGAACAATAAACGGAAATTTAGTACATTTCAAGAACAGAAAGCCAGAAATACAATAACACAGAAGAACAGTACAAAAACGTAAAAAACAGAAGACCAGTACAATACAATCAGAAGCCGTACAATACAAAAACAGAAAAAAATAACAGTACAATAACAAAAAAGACCATTACAGTGCAAAAACACAAAGCCAGTACAGTACCTTTTAAAACAGAAGCAGTACAGTAAAAATAAAAAAACAAGACCGTACAGAACACAAAAGACGTACGTGCAGTAAACAGAAGACCCGTACATTAAAATAACACAGAAGACCAGTACAGTAAAATAAAAAAGACCAGACACAATACAGAAGACCGTACAGTAAAATAACACAGAAGTCCGTACAGTAAAAATAACAAAAAAGACCAGTACAGTAAAAAAAAAGACCAGTACAGTGCAGTAACACAGTGATAGTACAGACGTAACCAGAAGACCGTGCGTATGTAAAACAGAAGAGGAGTACAATAACCCCAGAATACGAGTACGTACAGTAACCAGTGGCCGTACGGTCAGTAACAAAGAAAAAGCCGGTACAGTACAATAACAGAGGCTACATGTACGTAAGCAGTGGCTAGTACAGTAAAAGAGCGAAAACACAACGTTACACAGAAGCCAGTACAGTCAATAACCAAAAAAACTGCAGTCGTAACACAGAAGACCGTGCAGAACTGTAAACGACGAGCAATACAATTCATTAACACAGAAGCCCGTACAGTCAATAATACAGAGAACCAGTACAGTACAAAAAAAACAGAAAACGGTACAGTACAAATCCAGAAGCCAGTACAGACAAAAACACAGAAGACCGGTACGTACAATAAAACAGGGACCAGAAGTACATACCCAAAAGAC